ATTCTGTTACCGACGCTGAAAATCTTTCCTAATCTTTAATTTTTTCAATGTAATTTAGATATTTACTTTAATGGATCATATACGTAGCATTATTATTATAATTATCAAATACCACTAAGAAAAGATTTAAATAAAGAATTTGAAGTAGGAAAATAAGCATATGTAATTTGTAATAGATATTTATGTTTCTGTTCTAATAGAGATGTTGTTCTAATGCAGCTGACAATGTAGAGACGGTTAGTCTTTATGCCGTAAACAAGGGATGCATCGCTATTACTCACTTAGCACTACCCAGAAGGCACGTGTAGCTTTAAGATATGCAAAGGACGCGAGTAACACTACTCCTGCAAAGCTCTACGATCCTATTAGCCTGAGTACCTACGGTTTAAAATGGATTTCGAACCATTACAAACATCCATGGCACCGCCGGGATTCGAATCCGAAATCTGTGGTGCTGAGCGCTAGAGCGGTGGCTATTCGCCCATCAGGCCCCATTTTTTTTTAAATGCAATTCAGATATTTACTTTAATGGATCATATACGTAGCATTATTATTATATTTGTCAACTACCATTAACAAAGGATTTTAATGGAGTACGGAAATAAGTATATGTAATTTGTAATTTGATTTTTGATATTTATGTTTCTGTTCTAATAGATATAATTGTATATATTTTTAGTATATTTTATGAAACAATATATTGAAGTATATTCATTTTTATGCATTTAACTTTTTACTAAATCGAATGTCATAATATAATTAATTTAGGCCTGAAACGAATGGTCACTGTTATACTAATAAGGAATCTGTAATATTTTCCACCTATGCATAACCAAATGAAAATGCGATTATTCACACGGTTTCTATCCATTGATTTTTTGATATTTATTTCTGAAAATATTTGTCCACAAATACGTGGGGATCGAAACAGATTGCATTTTTAGTACAGCATCTGATAACAATCACAGCTGATTTGTTGAACGCAATTTTAAAAATGAAACAAATTTTTTGGCCAATGTTTGCAAATGGTTAATGTCTTGATAACTGACTTAATTGAGATTATTTTAAGGCATGAACGAAATAAATTTGAAAAATAACATAGACAGGGTTTTCTTTATTTCTAGCATCAACTAGAAAACCTTAAAATATTTTTCAAAAAGCTTTAAATAAATTTGGAAAATGTAAAATAAGATATTTTCTTCTGATTGCTTACTTTTTGTTTATAAAGTGAAGAATAATGTTCCTTGCTATAATCAATCCTCAAAGTCTGGGCTGTCTGGTGGCTAATTGGCCTTTGTTACTACAGGCTTCAGTTCGAATCATGGCAGCGGATGACTTATTGGGTGTTCAGAATCCACATTAAACTGCAGTTGCCAGTCTAATTAGTCTAAAGTGTGCACAAAATGACTATAGAGCGACAACCATACCAAATCTTTGATGTTAACTTTAACCAAATCAAAGCGGCCTGACAGCCGATGGGCTAGCACACTGGCCTCTTGTACCACAGGTTTCAGGCTCGAATCCTGGCGGAGGCATAGATGTGGTGGTTTGGAATCCACGTTAAACTGTAAGTCCAGGTCTAATTAGTCTAAAGTGGGCACAAAATGGCCGCAGAGCGACAAACCAAACCACCGACGCAGTTTCCATCGAATTTTCCAAAAATTTAAAGAAGAAATAACAAATCCTTTATCTGTCTGGAAAACATTAGATTTCATAATAATTTTTTAAATCCTGAGGTAAAAGTAACTAATTAGATTCTTATGATAATTATATATTTGTGATATATCAGATAATTCGTAATTGATTCATATATTCCTTGTCATAATTCAGAATCAATTCATGTTTTCATTTTGAAACCATGTCATTTTGAACTAATCAGGTATATTTTATTAATACAAAATGGATTAAAAAAATTGTCATTCTCAACAGTTCCCTCAAAATATTTTATTATTATTTTTTTTTTAAATCAAATTTAAAAATATGATATTTTCTAAATTACTAAATTAACAAATTACATAAAATTTCATCTAAGCACGAAACAAGCCAATCAATTTTTCTTCTAAAAGCACATGCAAAATCTTGATCATAGCATATATACAACTCACCTTAAATAAAAATGAAATGTATTATCATTATTGTTATTTTAATTAAAATATTTCTAGGATTTTTAGTCAAAAAACGAACATTTATTTTACATTATTAAGACATTTATTTTAATAAAGTAACTGAAATGGAATGAAATGCACAATATTTTTTTCGATCTAATAAAACCAAGTTTCATGTTTAAAATTAAGTTTTCATGTTTTTAATGAGTATTTATATATTATAATTATCCCATAAATATATGTGCTTCAATCACAAACCCCCCTATCAATTATGTCTTGTTTATGTATACTGTAACATTAAAGATTTTAACATTTTATTAAAGCATACACATTATTAATTTAGAACATCAGCTTTTTAATACTTAATATAATAGTATGCAGTTGCAATCTTTAATATTTTACATATTTCATTCATTAAGATTTTTTTAAAAATAATTGTAATGATTATATATTTATCGATTTGTATCACTGCTTACATTTTCATTAATAAATGTGTTTAATATAAACGGGTACATCGCTTATTAGCATGATTTATATTATACACGTTTGTATAATCATTTACTTGTATATCATTCAATAAGTTTTTTTTTTTTTTTAATTTTCAATCATTATCGATTATTTGAAAGAACACTTCTAAACAAGAAAAGAATTTCTCTCTGTACCTAATTGCCCAACTAAACGAGTTAATTCAAACAATGATCTAATTACTTGCATTCCCTTAAACCCCAAAAAAGATTCAACAACAGCAATACGTCGCCAATTGTGGCAACCCACGCCAAACCTCAGCTGATGGCTGCCGTGGTATGTCATCAACTACAAACGTAGTATTCGGAAGCCGTAAGATAGAACCTCGGTTAAAATAACGGGCCTGGCATCGGCACGTTTTGAATAAACTTCTCCTCCCTCTCCCCACCACCCCCGCAACCCCTCATTGCCTTCCCCCTCTTTCTACAGCAGCGCTCTTGATTACAATCTCAACAAAATTAATACGCCAAATTTTTACCTTCCCCCCTCGCTACACGCCAGAAGAATTAAAATGTTGAAAGCCGCGCCTAATTGACTTGTTAGGCGAATGAATGCTCTTAGTATTGGCGCGCTTTTTGTTTTCTGAGCGCATTTTAATGAAATAAAAAAGAGCCAACTTTGCAACCGCACTGGTGTGAAAAGCGTCGTGTAAAGGTAAAAGCTGGAATGGTTTTGGAAACGCGAAGCATTTTGGGACAGAATTCTTCTTGAAGAACACAGAAGAACATTGGAACAATTTTTCCCTTTGTTTTTCGCCCGCGTTTAAGTAGGGAGATATTCGCAAAGGGAGAAATGGCTTGTGTTTTTTTTTTTTTTCGCCTTTGTTTCGTCCTCTAACGATAATTCGTTCGGTTACAAAAAGTCTTTATTTTGGTAAAATAAATTAAAAAATTGAAGTGTTTCTTTTTTTTTTTTTTTTTTTTTTTTTTTTAATGAGTTAATGATTTTTTTTTAACGTATTAAATTATATAAGTGTACTTAAAATGGGAATCGATTAATTTCTTTACCGACATGCATAATTTTAATAACATTTTGGGTATTTTGTTTGATGAATGGAAGATAAAATTTGGGTGAGAAATGCGTATAAATTTCCTCTTTTGTTTAGTAGGACATTTTCATAACAACATGCTACTGTGTCCAAAAAGTAAGACCCATTTTCAATTTAAGATTCCCGGGGCCTGTGGAATTTAATTTTTTTTTCTTTTTAGGTTGCTAGCACTATCCTTGACATCTGTGGGAAATTTGACGTCAAAATATTCATTAGTGTTTGAGTTACGCTTGACTTTGTGAGACGCTAAAACTGATTCCGGCGATCTTTGAAATGTTTGAATTAATTGAGCAAAGAACTTGCATTCAATTTTGTTTGCGGAAACTTATAGAATGTTGCAGAAGGCATTCGGTGAGCATTCCTATATCGGAAAGTAATGTTTAGAAGTGGTAAAAACAGTTCAAAGAAGGCAGAGAACGCATTGAAGAAGAAGAGCCCTCTGGTCGGTCATCCGCCGCAAACGACGAAGCGCACGTCCAAAAAATTAAAGATTTGGTGCCTGCAAACCGTCGATTTACAATTAAGAGACCTTGCTGATGACGTTGGAATTTCAAAAGGATCGGTCAATTCTATTTTGGGCCTCAAACACGTCCAATCTAGATTGGTACCGAAAACACTCAATACGCCAGCTCACACTGCATTGTTTCTTCGTGACTTTTTCGCCAAAAATGAAACCCATATCGTTCCACAACCACCGTATTCACACCGCGCTACTTCTGGCTATTCCCTAAACTCAAAAGAACACTCCGGGGCACCGCTTTTGAGTCGATTGAAGAGGCTTTGAAGGCCATCCCTGCCGATGACTTTTCAGCATGCATTGAGGATTGAAAAAAAGTTTGCATAAGTGCATTGTGTCCGGAGGGGATTACTTTGAAGGCGATGAAATAAATATGGAACAATAAATAAAATAAATTAAAAAAAAAAATAATTAGTCTTACTTTTTGGGCACAGTAGTAGGAAGATATCCGTTAAGGAAAAATGGCTTGTGCTTTTTCCCGCCTTTGTTCGTCCTTAACGATAATTCGTTTGATTACAGAAAGTATTTATTTTGGAGTACCAACGGCCATACCATGGGGAATATACCTGTTCGCGTTAGATCACCGAAGTCAAGCATCATTGGGCACGGTCAGTTTCTGTTGTGATTTAGCACCCGTAGGTAGAAGTCTGACTTTGGCTCCGTGACGCTCTTAAGTCATAGGAGACCGGGAATTCTTAAAGTTTGAACCACTTCCATGGCACCGCCGGGATTCGAACCCAAAACCTGTGGCACCGAGCCAGTGCGCTAGACACTCGGCCGTTCAGGTCCCAAATTTGTGAATGCCAACGGCACGCGGTGTTCCCAGGTGGTCACCCACCCAAGTACTGACCGCGCCCAATGATGCACTGCGGTGATCTAACGAGAACCGGTATATTCACCATGGTATAAATCTAACATAGGGATATATAATTTTAAATGCGGCCCGTTGGTGCATTTCAAAGTGGCCCACAAGACCATTTGTCCTAGATAAATTAGCAGTGTAAATTTATGGAAATAAGTTTAAAACCTCAAATATACTTACTACTAAAATCAATCAACTACATAAAGCTAAAGTACTCAAATAACAAGACAAATAATGAATCACACAGTTTTCAATTTTTGTCAACAAACCATTTTCATTCAAAACTACCACTATACATATGAATAAAAAAAACACACCTGGGAACACCGCGTGCCGTTGGCATTCACAAATTTGGGACCTGAACGGCCGAGTGTCTAGCGCACTGGCGCTCGGTGCCACAGGTTTCGGGTTCGAATCCCGGCGGTGCCATGGATGTTTGTAGTGGTTCGGAATCCACTTTAAGCCGTATGTCCCGGTCTCCCATGATTGTAAGAGCGTCACGGAGCCAAAGTCAGACTTCTACCTACGGGTGCTAAATCACAACACAAGCTGCTTCCTTCCCCTTCAACCATGAGTACGTATGGGCTCGTGGGCTTGGCCAACCAAGTGGGATAAGAAACAACAAACAAAACGTTTATTTTGGTGAACTGAATTAAGAATTAAAAATGTTTTTATGAGGTGATTTTTAACGTATTGAATTTTGTAAGTGTACCTAAACGGGGATTCGCTTAATTCTGACAAGTGTAGTTTTAATATCATTTTGTATATAAAATTATATTATATTAATAATTTTATTATTAATTATATTATATAATATATTATTTTTTATATGAAAATAGAATATAAAACTTAGATGGGAAATGAGTATAAATTTCCTCTTTCGTGTAGTAGGACATTTTCATAACATCAACATAACAGGAAAATCATTGCTATAGAAATATTTGTTTACTAATAATAATATTTTTTTTTAATTTTTGTCTTCAAATTACATAAATATTTTTGTTCGTTTAATTTTGTTAATGTTTTGTTAACTTTTGTTAACGTCTAGTAACTAGTTTGCAACTAGTAAAAAAATTTTTAAAAGTTGTTTTGCAACTAGTGAAAAAAATATAAAAATTTTTAATTTTATTTTGTAACTAGTAAAAAAATTTAACAGTCAATTTGAAAGTGTATTCTAGAAAATTTCCAAATTTTAATATAATTTGTAAATAAAAAATTAATAAATAAATAATAGAATTCATTTTGTAAATAAATTCATCAATTTATTTAAAATGGTCAAGTAAATTAAATAAAATATTTAATTTTAATTTAGTGACTATTTTAAATAAATTGATATTAAATATTCAAATATTTATTCTTCAAATTAAATATTTTTATTAGTTTAATTTTCTTAATGTTTTTAATTCCAGTAACTTTAAAAAAAAAAAAAATTTTGTAGCCATAAAAAAAGTAAAAAAAAAAAATGTTTTTCAACTAGTAAAAAAAAAAACAAATTTTTTTTTTGTAAATTAAAAAAATTTAATAGTCATTTTGATGTATTCTATAAATCCTTCCAATTTTATAATCACTTTTGTAAAATAAATTCATCAACTTATTTAAAATAGTCAAGTAAATTAAATATTAAATATTTAGATTAAGTATTTAATATTTAATTTACTAGTTTATTTTAAATAAATTGATGTATTAAATATTCAAATATATAATTTTCAAATTAAATATTTTTGTTATTTTTATTTTGTTAATGTTTTGTATTCTAGTAACTAATTTGTAACTAGTTAAAAAGTTAAAAAAATAGTTTTGTAACTAGTAAAAAAAAAACAATGTTTTGTAACTAGTTAAAAAAGGTAAAAACAATGTTTTGTAACCGTAAAAAAGCAAAAAAACTTGTTTTGTAATTCTAAAAATGTTAAAAAATTCTTTCTTTTGTAACTAGTAAAAAAAATTAATACATTTTTGTTTTGTAACTAGTAAAATAGGTAAAAAAAAAAAAATTGTTTTGTAACTAGTAAAAAGGAAAAAAATGTTTTGTAACAAGTAAAAAGTTTTAAAAAATTTGTTTTGTAGCTAGTAAAAAAGTAATACGTTTTTTTTTTGTAACTAGTAAAATCAGTAAAAAAAAAAAAAAAAAAAAAGAAATTGAGTTAAAGAAATAAAAAAAATTGAACAGTCATTTTGAAAGTGTATTCTGTAAATTCTCCCAATTTAAATATAATAACCTTTGTAAATTAATTACTGAATTTATTTAAAATAATCAAGTAAAAACCTAGAATTTTTTAAGGAAACATTTCAACGTACCTTTATTCAAATGATTATTTAGCTTTCTATATTTAGCCTGAATTGAGTGAAAATTGAACAGAATTTCGATTTTTGTCGCAAGAAGACTTATTTGCATAGTTACGTATTGAAAATAATTAATACATAAAATTCTTTAGATATTTGTTTAATAGATGTGTATATTTTAACTGGGTATCTTTTCAAATAAAAGAAACTGACACGGATATTGGCTTATTCCGTATATTTGAAACTGACTTGCTGAACATTTCCGAATAGAATAAAATAAAACATCAAGTGGAAATATGTAAATTTTCGGATGAGTGTCGTTTTGGGCAAATATTTAACTCGTGAATTCCGTTTGGATTATTCATATGCTAATAGTATTAATTTTCATATCACTATCACATTAACATAATTCGCATCATAATCAATTGAGTTGAATTAATTAAGTGCTCATTTAAATTTAATCGCGTGATAAAATTGCTATCCATATTTAAATGAGTGATATTATATCCAGCAAATACAGATATCCCCAAACTACAGTTGAAATCCTCTCATAAATATAAATATCAATTTTTATTCTAAAGTGGAACTAAATTATTAAAAAAGAATTTTAATAAATTACTGATGTCATTGAGTACGATTTCTTAAATATAAGCAGTCTTTTGAATTTTAAAAACCAAATATGAATTTATGTGTTCGTGCAGTAATATTGTTTCAAAAACCACAACCATAAAGAAATACGAGAAGTTGTTTGTTTAAAAGAAATTGCGTCTGCATATGAAGATTTTGAATTCCAGATCTCGAAAAATGATTTAAGAGCTTTTTAGGGTTTATTAAAAATTCTGCAGATTTCTCTTCACTTTCTTGTTTAGTCTTATTGTCCTTAATGTATTCAAAGATGCAGTGGGATGGTAAGATTATTTTCTTGATGAAAATTTTCTTAGAGAAATCTAGCTTTTGTGAAAATTTACCTTAACTACAGAACCTTAACTTATAGAACTCATTGTTATAAAAAGAAACTATCATATAAATGCATTTACAACTAAACATTTAGCGTCGATTTAATTATTAAAATGCATTTTGATTTTTAATGAAATTGTTAATTCAAATCCATTTTTTAACCACGTAATTTTTTTTTCTTTTAGTTTCACGCTAATCTAAGAAACATACAATTGAATGTTAATAATATTTAAAAAGCGTTAACCCGACACGTGGCTCCGTGGCAAAGTGCGCCGCGGTTGAGCATTAGGGCGGAGAGCTCAATCCGCTAGCGACTTTAGTTGTAAAAAACGAAGTGGCTGGATGGCATTTGTGATGTTCAGCATCTTGCCTCGTTGCCTTGAACTATCTGGTGGGAGTTTTCCGGGTTTTCTTCCATACGAAAAGCAAAAGTAATTATTCTTTCAGGAGCCAGAAAAAAAAGTCACTCCCGGAAGTCACTGCCCTCCTTCAGCAAACACGGAGCCAAGTCAGACTTCTACCTAAGGGTGCTCCATCACAACAGAAGAGCTGCCTTTCTCTTTCTATGAGAACACCACGGGTTTTTGGATTTGGTCAAGATGTTGCTGTCGACCAAGTGAAAGAAACACACAAAACAAATAGCGCTGAGCCATAAATTACTTTTCCACACTAAAAATCATGCATGGTAGCGATTTGTAGATTTTGATAAATTTAAAAAAAAAAACTAAAACATAATTGATGTATGGTGGTTGCGTTATAATAAAGAACTAAAATCAACTTTGTATATGTAAATAAACAAGAGCTGAATTAACGGAGTTAAAAAATAAAAATTAAATAATTTATTCGTGATAATTAGAATTGTGTGTAGCTTAGAAACAACAACAACAACAAAAAAAAAAAAAATTAGTGTAATAAATAATGAACACAATTTGTTTTCTCTCATTGGCTAGAAAAATAATTGTTTTATTTGTAAATGAGAATGTTTTCAGTAATACCAAAAGATACTGGTTGAACAAGATAATGGAGTTGATGTTTGTCACAGAATGGTGATATCATGAATTATATCACAAAATCTGTTAATTAATAAGCAACTTTATGATTACTGTTTAGTAGTTATGATTACTGGTTGAAGAAGTATGTCTATTTTATTGTCAGTAAATAAACATACGATTCCCTTTCTCTTTCGCCATGATTGGGTAGGAGGTCAAGTCGCAGTCTGAAGCTAATTTTAAAGTACGTTTGCTTTGTATAAGTTTTCTGACCATCAATGAAATTTTCCTGCTTTCAAAAATAGGGAGGGGGTGTTTTTGTGACGCGTTCGCGAGGGACAAATGGAACGGGGAAAGTTTATGGGGCCCTGGAGAGGGTGTGAAACGTTTTTGAGTCGCCATGGGTCGAGTTTGCAAAATTGGATGGTTTTTGAAACTTTTTTTTTACTTTGATTTTTTGTTGCCTCTCCCAATTTTTTCCATTCCTGCCCAGTGTCCACGACTGAAATGTTAAAATTCGCCATTGCAATATTCGAGTGTTCATTTTTACACTTTTGTGTAGATTCCATACAAAGTTTTAAATTTTATAAGGGCACCCTTCAATTTGCAATTCATACCTATTTTATAAAAGTGATGTTTTTTAAGCTAGACGAATGTTGTTTATATGTTATGCTTTATAATATAGCATATGAACTATATGTTACATAAACGTTATGTATTATTGTTATTGCATGTTATAGCTATTATATAACAACTGAATACCATTAACAATAATTTCCATTGAAGATATCTCTTCATATACAAATGCTTGAAATTTTCTC